CATATCCTAAGCCAAATATCCTGAGACAATTTCCTAAGCCAAATATCCTGAGACAATTTCCTAAGCCAAATATCCTGACAATTAAGCCAAATATCCTGAGACAATTTCCTAAGCCAAATATCCTGAGACCATATTCTAAGCCAAATATCCTGAGATAATTTCCTAAGCTTGACCCGTGGCTTTTGGGCGCACCTCTGGTGGTGTGGCGCGCGCTCTGCGCGGCGCCACCGGCGGCGCGTCGGAGTGGCGGCCGCCACTCGCGTGGTGCCAAGAGGTTCTCCGGAACCCTTACGCGCACCACGGCGGCCGCCTTCAACTCCCCGAGCGGGGCCCTAGGACCAAGGGCGCGCTCGGCAAATTCCTGCGCTTTGCGCAGGGTCACAACCCCTGGGCCAGTTGTTGGTGGAACCACCTCAAGGCCAGCGCGCATGCGCGGGCGATGGACTGACTCCAGCAGCTCAAGGGCTCGCGCTCTCCTCACCGCCGCGCGCGCGTTGCAGCAGGAGTGCCGCAAACCGCAATGCGGCATTGTGCGACTACCGCATTGTGCCGCAGCTGCACCGCTTCTCCTCGGACATCATCGTGAACTCGGTGGTCCGCTGCGAGGACGCGGTCAGCACCGCGCCGGATCTCTTCTGAGAGCCGGCGCGGATCGCGGATGCGGCTTGAAGGCTCTGCCGGCGGATCTGTGGCCTGGCGCCTGCCAGACTGCGGGTCTAAACACCCCGGCGCTCGCGCGCGCCACCGCCCCCGGCGCGGGTTGGGATATCAGTTCGTGAGTCCTGTGTCCTGTCCCTGTGCCCCACCTTCTTCTCCTGTGTCGGTCCCTGAGAACCCCACTATACAGCGCCACCTCGTGAGCTGTTCTGTGAGCTGTGTGCTGTGTGTCCAGCAGTCCGGACCCAGTGCTACGGCCGGTGACAGCGTGCCTCGTGTCGGCTCCCGAGCCAATCGAGTGCAGCGTGTGTGTGCGTGTGGGCCCGTCCTCCATGCTTGGAGGTGTGTAAGACTGACTGACTGATTTCCTAAGCCAAATATCCTAAGCCAAATATCCTGAGGGAATATCCTAAGCCAAATATCCTGAGACAATTATTCTAAGCCAAATATCCTAAGCCAAATATCCTGAGATAATTTCCTAAGCCAAATATCCTGAGACAATATCCTAAGCCAAATATCCTGAGACCATATCCTAAGCAAATATGCTGAGACCATATTCTAAGCCAAATATCCTAAGCCAAATATCCTGAGGGAATATCCTAAGCCAAATATCCTGAGACAATTTCCTAAGCCAAATATCCTGAGACAATTTCCTAAGCCAAATATCCTGAGACAATTTCCTAAGGCAAATATCCTGAGTCCTGAGACAATACCTGAGCCAAATATCTAAGACAATATTCTGAGACAAATATCCTTAGCGATTGATCTTGGAGAGTCGCCTTAGAAAATATCCTAGAAATATCCTTAGAAAATATCCTTAGAAATATCCTTAGAAATTCTCCTTAGAATTCTCCTGAGAAAACATCCTTCGAGATTACCCTGAGGAATACCCCTTCGGAGAATTCTCCTTAGAAAATATCCTTAGAGATTACCCTGAGGAATACCCCTTAGGGAATATCTAAGGGTCATACTTAGGAGTCGATTTCCGCGTCGAAAAATGGCGGAAGGAGCACGTGGGCACTAGTTATGGACGAAAGTGCATTTTGTTCACAGCATGTAGATGTGAATGCGTTCCCATTACCATTTGCGGCAAGTCTCAAGCGATGGTGCCAGAATCCGACCTCATCTTCGCGCCAGTGATGCGGTTGATCACGCGAGTCGATCGACACGTCTTCGCCGCTCTTTCACCGACGCCCACAGCGCCAGCCAGTGTCGCGACGTGCCGCTGCCAAGAACGACACTGTGCTCTGAGGATTCGCCGCACATCGAAGGAATCAGAAGCGCGCCTTCGTGGATCTTTGTGTGTCGGGACAGGCGCTGAGGTTTGTGTCTCCTCTCGTCATCCTCCGCTGGCGTTTCGACACTGTGACAGCGGCAGCGCTGTGGCTTTGACGCTTCGGCTGCTTGCAATCGCAGCCACCGCACTCCCGTCGCTGCCTTCCTGTTGCCTGCAGTGGCACGCTGCGGAGTCTCCCTGTCTCGGCAGTACTGGTCGGCGTCTTGTCCTGTCGTCACCCTCGCGTCGCCGCCGTGGTCCGGCGCGGCGGTCATCCGGACAGAGTGTATCCCTCAGTGAGCCGACTCGCGACCCGCACTGCATGAGGGCAAGAAAAGCCGAGCCGTGCCACCGTCCTGCTCCCCCCTTTTGCATGTCTTTTTACGTGAGAGCATTCTGCTAAACAAGAGGAAAACCAGAGTACTCTCCACTCTTCGCTACTACCTACCACTCCTTGACGGCCTGCTCAAGGAGAGGCTTGATCTCATCTGCCCACCTGGGTGCGAGCTCCTTCCAAGTTGACCGCGCGAACTCATAGCACTCCGGTGCGGTTCGCCCTCCATCCTCGAAACCGGCCGGGGCACCGTTGAACATCTTGGTCTGCTCGTTCCCCCCCCCCCGCGGCACGTTTGTTGCCGGTCTGTTTTCCAGTCTGTTTGGACAGGTAGCGCTGCGTGTACGCTTGCTTCTCCGCCTTTGACATGATGACCATGTGCGTGTGTGAGTTGACCTCTGCCGCGGTGTTGAGTGGGCGCCGAAGCAGCCCGCATGACGCATTGTGACCCTGCAGCTGGTCCTGCATGCCATGGAGGTACGAACCCAACACAACTCCTTCCGGCGTGTCCTCCGTCTTCTTGACCGTTCGCGGATGCCACTGCTCGTCCTGATTGTGGAGCTCGAACTCATGGTGTCATCAAGTGACCGGCTGACAAGCCAGAGGTCGATACTCTGGACGACCCATAGGATGCCACGAATGCCTGAAGGAGAGGGAGGCGAGGCCAGAGGCCAGACTCAGCTGCTCTCGGGTGATCTCACTTTGGTGGCTGAAGGACCCGATGGTCCTGTCACATTCGCGCTCCGAGTCGTGGGGGTAGAAGAACTCGAGAGAGAGAATTCGGGGTAGGATCGAGTCAGCACATCCTTGTAGTACAGCGCTCAGCGGAGCGCCAGGCAGTCGCGCTCCCAATACGTGCATCACTTTTCCTCAAAAGACTTTTGTGACAGGTCTCAGACTTTGAGCGGCCATATCTCGGTAACTATTGATGGTCCATCTGAAAACTCTTCGGATTTGGAAACGGGGGCCTGGCAATCGCCACCGCCGCCATTTTGACGAGCAGCGCGAGCGCGCTCGTCGGCGGCCAGCATCCGTGGCGCGGGGGACTCCGACTCGCCTTCCAAAAGTCGGGTACGTGGCTGGGTTCACAGCGATTGTAGGTAAATTGAGGGACCAAATCACGGTCGCGGCCTTCCGACTCGCGCCTTCGCCTCACTGGCACTATTGTAGCCCTGGCCGGTGCGCGTGCGGAGTTGAAGTTCCGGAGTAAAAATTCCAACGCGTTCTCTCACGGTGACCAAAAAATGTCCACCTCAGAGGCACCTCCGGAGGCAGGCCGCCGCACGCCGGCGACACAGCTCCAGCTGTCGAACTGACCCGCAGCTCCTCTCAGAGCGGGAACTGTGACGAAAGTTGACTGAGGCGGTTGTCAGGAATCATCATACGGATCACATGGTGGCTCTCTCATGACGGGAGACCGACCGACCACTCCTGGGTGGCACTGCCACCGGTGTCGCTCGACGTCCTGTCGACAGCGTGCCGACAGCGACACAGACCATGTGGGACGCGTCGAGTATCGACCTCTACTGCTTACCCAGCCTTCGAGTGTATCCTGCCTGTGGTCCCACACCCACTGGTGTCCATCTCAGAGACCGCAGGAGGTCATGAGGGTCGATGGGAGTGCCAACCCCACAATGCCTAAAGACCCAGCCCAGTAAAAACCCAGCCCAGTATGTGGCTCCGCCCGCAACTTTCTCGCTGACACGCGCGCCCCGTCGAGCCTGCGGCGGGCGCGCTGCGGTCGCACGCCTCCCCAAGTCGTCACATAGTGCCACGGTGTGCGGCCTAGACGTTCGACCCCCCCGGGTCAATGCGTCCTCGCCGCCTCATTTGAAGGGGGGCGTAACCCTCTCTCCCCCGCGGTAGTCTTTTACTATTTGCCCCCCCCCACCCCCGAGCGCCCACTATTTCCCAAAGTGGCGCATATCGCCCTCAGTGCCTAAAACGAAATGTCGCCCCTCTCCGG